TGGAGGAGGCCAATTCTGGTGTATCGAGGTAGTGAGGTTATAAACCTTAGAAATTTATTTTGGACCACTTGCAGTTTTTTGATGTTCGATTCGCACGTGTAACTCCATGCTGGGCAAGCATACTGCAGCATAGGTTTAATAGCTACTTTATATATAATTGGTTTATTTTCAAAGCTCATTCCACTCTCTCGGGCCATCAGCGGAAATAAGGCTTTTATAGCTATTTTACCTTTCGTTACTATATTGTTTATATGCCGAGAGAAGTTAAGTTTTCGGTCCACAGTTAAACCCAAGTACTTTACCCCCTCATGCCATTTTATTTTGTGTCCGTGAATGGAAATGGTTTCTTTGAATATTGGGCGTCGTTTTGTGAAAAATATGGCCTCAGTTTTCGGGACATTAATTCTGAGTTTCCAGCGGTGAAAAAACCTGCAAATCCTGGTGATGCTGTCATTTAATCTTTTCACAATTGTCTTAGGCCTCCAGGATGAACAATAGACAGCTATGTCATCCGCATAAAGCGCAATTTTGCAATTTCTCAGTGTGGGGAGTGGATTTATAAAAAGGAGGAACAAGCATGGCCCCTAGGATTGAACCTTGGGGAACTCCGGCGGCAATTGGGAAAGGTCTGGAAGTTTCATTGTTTAGGGAAACACGGAAACAACGGTTTTTTAAGTAGGCCATGACAACTTTTACAAGATATCCAGGGAAATTCATTTCAATGAGCCTGTATACTATACCGTCCTGCCAGACCGAATCAAAGGCCTTCTCCATGTCTAAGAGGACCATCCCAGTTGGGACTAGGGTTTATTTTTACATTAACAAAATTCATAATTGTAATATTACATGTGGCCGAAAAAATAGTAATTTCTAAATTTTTTACTACCTGAGGTCAAGAGATTACCGGAGACTTTGTGTGACGGATCTCAGCTGTTCATAGCTTTATGGAGATAAAATAAATAATACGCACTCTAAAAAAGTCAAAGGTTAACCAACTTTTTTGTTGGTTGCAGTCGGGCAAATATATTTTACTTACAGTGGCCAATCATAGCCACGAAGGAACCAAAGTCTGTATAAAACAGAAAATTTTAATTAACAAATATAGCCGTTTATTTTGATTATTAATGTACAATATATAATTGCCTTTTATATTATTAATCTATATGTGTTTTAGTTGGTTCTAATTAATCAAACTGATTATTAAAGTGGATTTATAATTTTTATGTAAAGTGTGGTTGTGATGAAAAATTAGGGTCTCGAGTGGGACTAACCACTTGAGCTATCGTGACGTCGGTACCCCGTGACACCAACTCATCATCTCCCGCACTTTACATAAAAATTATAAATCGTGGGTTCGAGTCCCGCTCGCGACACTAATTTTTAACTACACTATACATAAAGCCTTTTAAGAAATAAAAATATTTTTATTGATAATTATACATTTTACAATTCATTTTAGTAATTACAGGCAAAACTCCATGGTCGTCAAGGGAGTTGCTATCTTTAACATAATAATAATAAAATAGTAATAATATATTATATTTTAAATCATTTATGGAGCTACTATATTACTTTTATTCAAAATATATATAATTATAAACTAATCATCTTATAAACTAATTTATGCCACAACCCAAGTATTTGTACCATATCTAACAGTTTATTCAAAGTTAAATTAAACTACACTACTTTTATTATCTTGCTGCAATATTATAGCACTTATTATAATTGACTAATTATATATACAATTTCTACAAAGAACCCCTATTTTAGAGGTTTCCTACGTTTTCCTCCAGGTTTCTCGGGTTTTTTTCTTTATACCCAGAACATGGGAAACTCCCTGATAAAATTACATTAATCGGGTTCGAGTCCCGCTCGTGGCAGTAATTTTTCATCTCAACCGCACTTTAACATAAAAACATAAATCTATTATAAATCATTACTTTGGGACCTCTGGCAGACGGCATTAGCCATGCCATTATACTTCGTGTGCCATTCAAAATGTAATTATCTTTTTAAAATAAAAAGTATTTCAATCAATTAATCATTATTTTGGTTAACTTGGACCAACTAAAAAACAAATATTAAGTGTTTTTTTGTTAGTGACCAAATTTGATCCCCAAATATTAACGTTGGCATTACAGAGGTGTGCCATATTTGCCTTTACTTGTTTGGAGCCATCCTGCTTTTTATAATCTTGTTACAGTATTAGAGCATAATTGTGTAATTATATTTAATTATCTGCAAAGAACCACCGGCCCTATTTTAGAGCGAATGCTTTTCCCCCTCCAGGTTTCTCCTTTTATTGCTTACACAAAGAACTTTCGAAATTTCCCGATAGCATTTTCCCATTTTCTTTGTGGTCTTCCTCTTTTAGTGTTTCTAACTAGTGGTGTCCAATTGGTTCTCTTTTTGTGAAGTTTTTATCTGAAGAGCGGATTACGTGCCCATGTACACTTTTATGTTAATTTTGACGACGTTGAGTTCTGTTTTACACCTTTCTTCTCAGATTTATCTTATTCTATATTCAACATTCTGCGTCGTATTAATCATTGACTTTTCCCAATTCTATATAAAGTGTTGTTTTGCTAGTGACCAAGTTAAGCCACCTGTTAAACTTTGATTTTCGACGACATATGAAGTGGCCTCGGGGCTGTTAGCGAAGTGCAGGTACTTCTGTGATTATAACATTAATCCATGCTTTCTAGTTGTTCCTATAGAATCCCGTAGTAATGGTTTAAATTTATTTATAATTTTTATGTAAAGTGCGGGAGATGATGAGTTGGTGTCACGGGGTACCGCACTCACGATAGCTCAAGTGGTTAGAGCACCGTCGTATCGAGCCGAAGGTGTTTCGCATGCCTTTTCTTGTTTGGGGCAATCTTTTTGTTCTTCATTGTCTATTTTATGCTTCAAAATTTCCGCCACGCTAATAAAATTCTTCGTTATGCTTTTTTTTTCGTTTATTTCTGTTTAGCTCAACAATTGCTCCAAATAAATTGTTCCTTGGATATGTTTTCGTTCTTTCCCGAACAATCCTCATTCTTTTCTTCCATTCGTCATTACTAGGGCTGTGATTTGTATGCGATAAAAAAAGGAAATATGTAAATATATTTGGTAAAAAATGCAATTTAAAACTGCAAATTTGTGTATTGAAAAAAGAAACAGTGGCAAGAGGAACATCACATTGCTAATATTAAAAAAGAAAAACGCATTAAAAAAAGTTAAATTTTAAAAATCCGTCGTCTCATCCATCGAGATATCTCATCGATCGGTCCATTTTCGATGAAGACTTTTTTATGGAGTGTTTCATTCTATATAAGATCCGGGTGAGATTTCCTGAGGGTACTTCCGTGTGGAATGATTTTCCCTGTTTATTTCTCAAAAAAAACCTTGAATTAAGGGTGGCTTAGTTTATGGATGGGTATGTCAGCTGTAACTAAAGCACGTCATAAATCGGTATCGAAACCGGACTTTCCAGACCCAGCTCTTGTGGCAGCTTGTGTCACAAAGGTTTGTTGAAACTTTAACTTTCTACCTTGGTTTTCCTTGTGTTTTGCTGTTACGTTACATCCTGTGTGTAGAGATTAGTGACCGTTAATCGATAGTTATTCAGATATCGTGAGATGACCCCCGACCGCATCTCACGATATCTGAATAGTTACATCCTGTGTTGATGCAGGTTTATCACAACAAACAAAGTATAAAACGTCTGCATAGCCCTGAAAAGTCTCACTTGTAAAACTCACGCACATACTTTTGAACAAGATATTTCGTGTTTGCGGTGACTTTCGGCATTTTAGGAGTGGTCAGTTCACAACACACAAATAATGTTTTACGTTCGAAAACGCATGAGAGACTGGGTAATGGGTAAAACTGAGTATGATGGTAGGGAAAGAAGAGAACTGTGGTCGTAATAGTTCTATGAATCCAATTAAACTATTCCAAGAGAACATTTACAGTGGTACAAACACTATTCCTTTCTGTATTTATTTCAAGAGAAGCAAAGGCGACCGAAAGTTGGGCGAAAGCAACTGAACAAACTCAAACTCGTTCATTATGTGGAAACGGACGAATGGGAGCCCGTAGCTCTTTTTCGGAGAATTTTTCTTTTTGCCTGCTCAGAAACATTAAAATTTGACGTGCGACATAACGGTGTGCCGGATATGTTAAAAAATATCCAATTATAACCCACTTATGCAAAAATATGATTTTATGGCAATATATGCACAAATATGCAAAATAAATATAGCTTAAATTGATTCCAAATGCTTCAAAATACAGTTTGTTAAAACTGGATGTTTTAGTTAGCCAGGAAAAATATGCAAATGCATATATTTCACAGCCCTTGTGATTACTATTGTGCTAGTTTTGTTTTATATTTAGTCCTGCTTTTTTCCTTTTTTTTCTTATACATAAGTCGGTTAGTCTCATATGTGTCAGCCTTTTTCTTTCAAAACCGAAAACTAATTTAAAAAATAATTATGATAGCAATGACGGTTAAAGACGTTTTGACTTGGTTCCAATTCCACGGTAAAACATAATTTTGTACATGCAAATTAAAGGGTGTCCGTTCTGGATAGCAACTTATCGTTTTATGATTCAAGAAGATAAGTTTTCATGAACTGCTGTGTAAATTAAAATTGTACAATGAGTGGATCCGTAAATGTACCCTCCAAATCAATTTTTTACATAACGTCAATTGTCTATAGTTCATTACACACTATGCCATAAGAAATTCCTTTTTATTACCAGTATTACAAATGTTCTCAGCAAAACTAAAACATGCCACTGTGTCTCATTAAACTTCGTTCAAGTTAGTCAAGGCTGATCGAAGAATCCCAAAATTTTGAAAAAAATCGCAAATTTAATGTTGACAGTCCTGTTAGTTTTGAGCAGCGTTTTGACGCAGAAAGATATTCTCTGGGGGTCCTACGCTATTGCTGGGAATGAGGATGAGTCTGGGCAAATTTTATCCACAGGTTGGACTTTTGTTTCAGGTGCCAACAAAAACCCGGCCAATGTTGCGACCAAAAGGCGTATGGGGGTATGTAAACGTCGAGAAAATGTTTTATTCTAGATGATATCAAAATCCTGGCTGCCAACTTCTATGTTTACTTTTAATTGTATGTAGCTTTTGTTACGAAACAACATGCTTAGTTTTTTTTCTAGTCACTGTGACTTCATCAAAATAACAAATCTCTAATATTCACCTAAAATTAATTTTTATTGTAAAGTTTAATGAATTTTCAATTTTATGTTGTTTGGTATCAGTATGCTTCAATGCTAGCTATTCCAACCCATCAATTCGGGCTCAGGCGATATCTACATTTAAACAATACCACAGGTGGTAGAACCATCTCATTCTGCCATTCACTTCATTATAAAACCCTATCTGTCCAAAAGGTAATCTTAATTACGAAACATACTCCTCTCCTACTCAATATGCCGACGTGAGTGTTTCGCAAGGCAGCATCCTTGGTCTTATTCTTTTTTCATTATACACTGTAGATTGAATTAATCCCGATAACGCCTTTCAACAAACCTAGTGGTCTCGATTCTCCTGTTTGGATGGTTCAAGAAATTAAGGATCAGACTTAATGAAACCAAATCCCTGGAAATAATCTTCACTCTTCGCCGTATCTATCATCCAATGTACAACTCGATTCCACTACCACCAACCAAATATCGTCAATGCCAACATCAGAAGAATCCACTCCAGTCTAAAATCCTTCGTACCATCGCCCAACCTCCCTACTTGGTATCAAAAGTTACTATTCACGCAGAACGTCAGATCCCAGTTGTCCGCGAAACTGCTTGAAATCGATAAAACCCTCATCCCATCCCCCTAGCATCTTTAATCCCTAACCAACAAGACGGGCCGATAAAATCCGTTATTAGGCCAATACATCAACTTGCTCTCATTATCTGTAAACAAATTCGCTGGAATTGATGGTACTTGGTCAGCCTTGTGCTTTGAGATCGGCTTGAAAATGCAAAGCTTCAAAGATGTGCTTTTCCCCCCAAAAAGACGAATGCATTGCTCCACTTAGCCAGTCGACTGAACGAATTCCAAATAAAAATAATTCTTTCAGTGACAGAATGTTAAAACACGAAGAAGAGCGGCTAAGAAACTATCTTTTTCAACAAACCACAGTTTATTTTAGTTTGAAAATTTGGTTGTGCCGCAAAGAAGGAGATGCTTTAGAAGTTAGACGCTCGTTTTCACAAGTTAATTTTCTTAAGAACGCTTAATAATCCAATTTTTACCCTTTTAACTGTTTTACGTCAACCTGTTCAGTCGGCAAAAGATTTAATAGCTCTAATTACAATAGGTCTGTAAGTTTTGCATCATTAACACTTTATTTTACTTTTCGCTTCATTTTCTTTGAGTTGTCTTGATTATTGCTTTACTAAATTAATTAACCTGAATTATTAACTTTTGTACATAGAAGGACATAAGAGGAGCGATACACAAGCTATTGTGATACATGTAAATAAAATTCCTATTTGGACTTCCCCAAATGATGTCTAATTTATCCTTTCTAATTATGTTCAACCTCTTGAAAAATGATTTCGTTTACAAAAAAGTGATACCTCCGATATTGGTCTCCTCTGCTTCGAGGACATCTCCGTTTACAGAACGGTTACAGATGCACCGGCTTGGAAGATTCATTTTTTATGTTTTTAACACTACTAATGCACTCTACAGCACTCTACTAATGCAACAATCTAAATAATGTAGAAGGACACTGCTATGAAAACGAAAATCTCTTTTTAGAGGACACCTCCGTTTACAGACGGTTACCTACGCACAGGTACGGAAGATTAATTTTTTTATGTTTTAACATATTTACTTATGTGACAATTTAAATGAAGAAAAAACACCCTATTATGGAAGCCAAAACATATCTCTTAGAGGACACCTCACGAGAGAGAACAAAAGTAGTGACATTGTCTCTTAGCAACAGGTTACACAGTGTATACTTTTGTGCTGGATATGATTTTTGCAAGACCATTTTCTAAACACCGATTTCATGTTACCGTGGAGTTCGTAAGGTCTATTTGTTTAGGTAAGGTAAGGATTATGGCTGGGATTAGAAATTGGCATAATCGTTAAGATTAAGTAAAAATACACATTATATGTAGTATCTGTAGCATATACAGACAGCTATGTGTTATCAGATGAAAAAATTTCTCTTTAGAGGAAATTTTCCGAAAGAGGGCATAGTGGCACTATGAATCTCCTTGCTCCCTCTAATCTGACTTTTGTACTGACTTTTCAACCTTATCTTTCTCCCACAGTGTCTTCCACTGGTGCCACTCTTCGTCCCGATTAAGTCTCCGTCCTCTCCCTAATCCATCACTCCTTGTCTCCTTCAAGGTTCAAACAACACCGCTTCCCTTTTTTACGGTTACATTAATGATTTCCTATTGTTAAGGTATATGGGTAATAAGAAAAATGAGATCTTGCAATATGTCTTTAACCCTATCTGGAAACTTAAAAAAGTGCGGGGGACTGGGCAATGGTGTTTATTGTTAATTGATTAATAATGATATGTTTAATGCAAATTGTATCTCTGGGAACAAATTATACTACTATAAATTTTAAAAAACCTATGGGTTAAGGTTAAAAAATATCGAGATTTTACGATATTTTTGAGGTGCAAGGCATATTTATTGAACTGTTACAATTTTTTTTAAGTTCAGTAACATTATTAATGAAGGCAGTGATAATGATCAAAAGCTGGGCAGTAAAAGATTTCTTTTGTTAAACCCGGTTTTTTCCATGAACTTATTATTATGAAACTAATCTATATATCCAACCGTTATGATTATTGTATGCAATCTCGTGATTCATGTAACATAATTTAAGCAAAACGTCGGTTTTTTTATGGATTTGTCTGGCTCACTTTGTACTGGATTTTGTAACTAATTTTTTCAAAAGCTACTCAGCCATGCGAAGATTGTGTAACGAGACGTTTGCAAGTTGCACAATCGAAATAAATTTGTTTTAATGAAAGTGTCGCGGACAAATACACGTGAATTTATGTGCTCTCTATAAGAAAGAAACATATTATGCATTCCTCTCGAATAAATCCATAGACAAGTTGGAAGGACATGGAAGCCTTGCTCATTTGTATTTTTTTTTACTCGAAAGAAATTGCATTAATTTATTTACATGTGTCTAACATTTCACATCAGCCAAAACCACAGATTATGTAGATTAAAAGAGTACTGGAATAAAGATTATCAGTCATCTTCTTCTTTGTTCCAAGGGATGATCGATCTGTCGTTTGCCTCATTGACTCTGGCAACTATGGTAGAATGGGCTCCATTGCCCTACTTTTCCCTTGGGTGACCTCTTCCCAATAGTCTTGAGGAGTTCTGTTACGTCTCCGCGTCAGTAACATTTCCTTCTCTCACAGTAGACCTCAACAGAGATCAACCGGGCTCATTGAGAGGATCAACTGGGCTGCAAGTTTATCGATCCCCAGGACACGTGGGTCTATCTGCGGTGGAACGAAGACTGGGCCCGAGCTCACGCGGAGAAAAGGAGAGCCTTTCAGCGATTCAGAAGGCAACCGACGGAGGGTAAACTGATTATGTATAAAGGGAAAAGAGCCTGTGTATACCTCTCTTTGGCCGAAGTAGAACTCCGTCGGTGCCGTTAGTTGTAGGTTAATCCTCACCTGATTAAAGAAGGACCATGCGGGGTTCACACACTGACTTTCGGGCCAAAGTCCGCGTATGCGTTCGATATGTAGAGAAAGGTTGCTCGATGTGTGCCACCTACTTGGAGGGAGCAATTCCTTGGCTCCGTACAGAGAGCGCGTAGGAATGCCACCCGATATGAGAAATATGCTTGAGCACAGCAGCGATGATCTGGGTCCCCTGTTCCAATTTTGGGAGGAAACAGGACTGTTTTACTGTAGTATACTGTAGTATATTGCTTGTGTTTCATTGTGTATTGATAAAAAAAGTTTTTTTTTGGCCTAACCTTTCGGCATTAGCCATAAACCTATTTCCACGTGAGACAGACGGAGTGCCATCGCCGCCCAGGGAAATATAGCGGGTTAACTTTTTTTTCTCTTTTTTCTTTTTTAAGAATGTATTTATTAGCGGTAATGTGTAGAGTAAGAAGGTCGATGGTGGAATATTTGAGTATCCTATTGACACTCAATTAGATTAATTATGTATAGCATTTTTCAGACAAATTAAACCTTTTTCAACCCAATTAACCTTGTTTAAACTAAATTAACCCTTTTTCCAACCTTTTTTCAGTAGATGTATTGCGCTCACTGGCCAGCTTCAGGTTGTTAATCAACCTCCCGATATGAGAAACTCTTGAGTACGACAGCGGTTATTTGGATCCCCTGTTCCGATTCTTGGGGGAAACAGGGTCGTTTTATTTTATATAGTAATGATAATTTTTGTGTACCTAGTATGTGTTGAGGGTGAATGTATTTATTAGCGTCAATATACTTATTAGCCTGAATGTGTGGTGTGAGAGTGTTGATGGCGGAATGATTGTCTGATGGTACACTTTTCTTTCTTTCCTTCATCAATTTTGGATCAACATGACTGGATAGCATATTTTCCTATAAATTCCCTTAGCAACCTTTAAGGAACAGCCGCCTCTATATCCCAGCCAAAGAATTCTCTTTTGAAGTAAGAAGACTATGAAATAGGCCAACACCACTTTCTTGAGAATCCAGTCTTACATGTGACATAGGGCACAGTAGGCTGTTATGAGTTAAGATTGGTGTACAACTAGTTTCAAACTCTCAACTTCAAAACACGCAGCGTCAGTTTTTTCTTTTTTTTTCCCATCCACCGCCCCGCCGTACCTGAGGGAGACCCCATACCGGCGGACTTCGGCCACTAGACTAACTTATTTTCTTGTATGGGGGAAAATGGAAGCATAACGCCTTCCTTATGCCACGCTCTAAACGAGGGGCACGAGGAAGGTTAGGGGTATATATATTTTTCCTCTCTGTATTACTTAAATTGACCTAATCTAATAGGTCTCCCCCTTGCAGGTTA